CGCGTAGGAGGCATCGGCGCAGTTCAAGAATGTCGCGTTCTTCATCCTGTCGCCGTGGGGCCTACACACCGGCCCGTGCGCCACCACCTGGGTGCTGGCAGCTGGGCCCAACGGGGCAGCTAGTTTATGTGCCCTTGCCCCCACACCTCGGGATGCCCCCTCCTCCCTCAGTGGCACCCCAGCACCTGCCTGCGGCGCTGATGACTGGGATGGTTACCACAACGCCTGCCAGGCCAGTGGCCTCTGTACCTGTTACGGACCCCACCTCTTCAGGCGGGGCTTTGGACTCCAACCCAAGCCGCACATCTGCCGCGGACCCTCGCCGAGCGGACCTGGAGATGCTGATCGGCCCCAGCTCTGCTGGCTCGCTGGCCCTAGCATGCCAACCTGCTGCGGCCTCCGTCGCGGCCCCTGCCGCGGCCTCTGTCGTGGCCCCGCCCGCACCGCAGGCCGCCTTGACTCCACTGATGGTCCCCAGCACGGACCTCCCTGACCCAGTGATTCACGACGACGGGGAACCACTGGACTCTGACTCGGATGCTGAGCCACATGAGGCTCCTCAGCCGCTAGGTGGTGAGGACAATGTCTTGCCCGCAGACTTTAATAAATTCGCGGCTTTAGTGGAACGAATGATTAAGGCTTTGGAGATCCCCGCTCCCAAACCCCCGGAGCACGTGGAGGATCCAATGTTCCCTTCGGAGGAACAGAACGTAGTTGTGTCCTCCACCCTCCCACATCTCCCATACCTACTTAAACTGGCTAAAATAATTGATATGCCCCCTTCTTCGGTTCCGGCCGTGCCTAGACGCTTAGACTCTATGTACAAGATAGATATGGCCACTGCCAAATGGGTCTTAGCTCCTCCCAAGGCCAACACAGTGGTGGCCGAGGTGTCAAAGTCYAAACGCTCTAAGCCTTCCCAGACRGCRCCCCCTGACAGGGAGGGCAGGAAGCTGGACACACTGGGAAGGAAGGCCTATCTTTCCGCGGGCCTCTTTACGCGTATGGCCCACTACGCGACCTATATGTCAGGGTACCAGACCCTCCTCTGGAACCGGTTGCTACCCTACATAGAGGTCTTGCCACCCGAYGACCAGCGCTTCACTAGAGCCCTGCAGACCGAAGCCCTGGCCCTCGCCAAGCTCCAYAAGGACTTCGCGAAGCACATGGCGGAGGCCTCRGGCAACTTGTTCGCCACCGCCACCTCCATTAGGCGGCACGCTTGGTTACYAGCRGCAAATCTCTCGGAGGAGGGGAAGGCCCTCGCCGAGGACCTTCCCTTCCACGAGGAGGGGCTGTTCAATCCCAATACCGATGACCGGCTTAAACAGAAGCAAGATGTAAGGCAGTCTGCATCTAAGTTCGGCTACACATGGCAGCCGTACCCCCAACAAAAGGGGAGGTGGCAACCGAGTACCCCCTCCTATCGGAGGTCATTCGGTAACTCCTATTCTACACCCTTTAGAGGCAGATTCGGAGGCCAGRCTAGGTTCCAGGGGGGAAGGCGAACCCCCTACTCCCAGAAGCCAAGGGCACAACCCTTCCAGGGAAAATCCAAAGCTCCTGGCGCCTCAAAGAAGCGTCTTTGACGCCTCTCTAGCCAACTCTAAGCCGGGCACAACCCCAGCTGCATGCCCTTCCAGAACCCCACAGCCTAAGATACCCTTCCCTCTCTGTTTACATGTTGATGCTCAAGACYTTCCTTCAGGGCCGTTGCCCTTTTTCACCGACCGTCTCTCTGGGTTCTATTCTGAGTGGGAAAAGATTACCTCAGATCGTTGGGTATTAACTATTGTTTCACAAGGTTACTCTATAGAGTTTGATGATACCCCCAGGGTTGGTTTGTTCCGAGACACCCCATTTTCCATGCAACTCATGCAAGAAATTAGAATGTTACTAGATAAGGGGGCTGTTTCCATGGTTGACCCTGCTTCCGCTCCTTTCTGTTTTTATTCTCGTTACTTTTTGGTGATTAAGAAAGGTGGTGGGCTGCGTCCCATTTTGGACTTGCGAGAGCTCAATAAACACATCAAGCCGAAAAGGTTTAGAATGGTGACTCTTGCTTCTATAACCCCGCTTCTCCCTAAACGCGCCTGGTTCGCCACCGTCGACCTCAAGGACGCGTATTTCCATATTTCCATCGCCCCACACCACCGGAGGTTTTTGTCCTTTAGGATTAACGGTCAGTCTTACTGTTTTAATGTCCTCCCGTTTGGTCTTTCCACGGCCCCGAGGGTCTTTACCAAGTGTATGGCCGTGGTGATGGCCCACCTCAGGACCAGGGGAGTCACGGTCTACCCRTATATTGACGACTGGCTGATTGTGGCGGACACTTACCYTAAATTACAAACGCARGTTTCCATGGTCTTGTCTCTCCTCCAGTCCCTAGGTCTCGTCCTCAACCYGGAGAAGTCCGTCCTGGTGCCGACGCAGCAGATCCGGTTCATCGGGGTGCTCCTAGACTCGGTCCACGAGAAGGCCTACCTCCCAGAAGAACGCTTCACCACCATCGCAGATCTGGTCAAACAAGTTTTGGTCGAGCCCTACGTGACAGCCAGACAGCTACAGGTGTTACTGGGACACATGGCGTCAACTACATCGGCGATCCTGCATGCCAGGCTTCGTATGCGCCCACTACAGTCCTGGTTCCTGTCCACCTTCAATCCTTTGTTGGACTGCCGATCGACCAAACTGTCGGTCCCTCCCTGGGTTCGTTCCTCACTCCGATACTGGTTGGACCCTGCATGGGCTTGCTCAGGCCTGTCTTTCCACATCCCCTCTGCCACAAGAACTGTTACGACGGACTCCTCCCTAACAGGCTGGGGTGCGCATTCTCAGGGCCTGGTAGCTCACGGCATATGGTCAGGCCAAGAAAACGAGCTCCACATAAACGTTCTAGAGCTCATGGCCGTCGACAGAGCTCTAAAATCCTTCGAGAGGGTGGTCGTGGGTCAGGTAGTGCAGGTGCTTACCGACAATACGACGGTAATGTACTACCTGAACAAGCAGGGCGGTACCCACTCCCCAAACCTGTTGACGTTGTCCATCCAGATTTGGGAGTGGTGTATAGACAGGGGGATTCATCTTCTGGCCACACACGTACCCGGGGAGCAGAACGTGTTAGCGGATTCTCTCAGTCGCAACCCGTTGGCACACCACGAGTGGTCCCTGAACGGAGAGGAAGTTTACAGACTCTTCCGAGCGTGGGGAACTCCGGACATCGACCTGTTCGCGTCGACGTCCAACGCCAAGTGCCCCCTCTTTTGTGCGAGGGCTCACGCCTCCACGAGGGAGGGTTGTCTGGGGGATGCCTTCCTGCACACGTGGACGGGATGGACAACTTATGCCTTCCCTCCCTTCCCCCTGCTGCTCCGCACTGTAGCAAAGATACAGAGGGACGCCACCTGCTGCATCCTAATAACGCCCTGGTGGCCGAGACAGCCATGGTTCTCCCCTCTCCGTCACCTGGCGAGGGGAATATTCGTCCGGCTTCCCTCCAGACCCGATCTGCTGACATGTCAACAAGACCAAGTGCTGTACCCAGAGGTACACAGACTGAGGCTCACGGCATGGCGAATCCTCCCCATCGCTTAAGCCCTTTCTCCAATCTTCCTGACTCAGTGCTCCGGATCATTGAGGCGGCCCATAGGCCCTCTACTAAACGTTCCTATCTGTACAAATGGTCTAGATTCACATCCTTTTCTAGGGCGCGTGGTTTGGACCCTAGTACGGCATCGATAAATGTCATCCTTGACTTTTTGGCCTCCCTTTTGGACGCAGGCCTCTCTCACCCTTCCATCAAATGTTACCTAGCCGCCATCTCCTGGTTCCGCAGGAAAGCGGGTTTGCCTTCCTGCTTTGCAGACCCGTTAMTTAAGGACTTTCCTGAGAGGGATCTTAAACATTAGACCCCCTACTACCCCTGTAGTCCCCTCATGGAGCTTAGATTTGGTGCTCAGAGTACTGATGAGACCCCCATTTGAACCGATGGCGACAGTTAGCTTGTCCTACCTTTCGTGGAAGACCGCATTTTTGGTAGCGGTCACATCCGCTCGCCGGGCTAGCGAGCTCTGTGCCCTCAGGGCGGACCCACCTTACTTGAAGTTCCATTCTGACAAGGTTGTCCTAAGGACTGACATAGCCTTCCTGCCCAAAGTTTCTACGTCCTTCCACCTCTCCCAAGACTTGATTTTGCCCTCCTTTTTCCAGAACCCTACTTCCTCCTTGGAGCAAGGCCTACATCTCTTAGATGTCCGCAGGGCGTTGGCCTTCTATGTAGATAGGACCGCCCCTGTCAGGAAGACTCCTAGACTTTTCATAAAGTATCGACCTGATGTTCTGGGGGACCCTGTTTCTTCTCAACGACTGTCTTCATGGATAGTATCCACGATTCAACTAGCTTACCGCATGTCGGGCACCCACCTACCCCCCCCGTGAGAGGCCATTCGACGAGGTCTGTCTCGACGTCCACAGCTCACTGGAAGGGCGTCCCTTTGGACGTAATTTGCCGGGCGGCCTTATGGTCGTCCCCTCTTTCTTTTGTCACACATTACAAGCTGGACGTTGTATCCAGAAGAGACGCACAATTTGGCAGAGCTGTCTTGTTCTCCGCGGTGGCATGACGCCCACCATCCGAGGTACAGAGCTCGCTAATCTATCATATGTGCGATTCACAGGGACTACGACAGGAAACTATAGGTTGCTCACCTGTAACCATGGTTTCCTGAGTAGTCACCTGTGAATTCGCACATCCCCACCCGTCCTCCCCTCGAGTGTCATGCCCGCGTTCTGTCTGCTTTGTAGCGGAAAAGAACTGACGGCTGGCCCCTCCCACGGGCTACTTATACTCGGGGCGAGGTGGGTGGGGCCAGCTAGGAGTCAAGTGCTTTTCTTCATTTCTAGAAGGTTCCGAAAGCTATTGCGCAAGCGCAGAGATATCATATGTGCGAATTCACAGGTGACTACTCAGGAAACCATGGTTACAGGTGAGCAACCTATAGTTACTCCGCATTTAACGGATGCCTCACCGCCTCCTCGTCCAGCTTCTTCATGCGCCGCTCTGTCTTCATCTTGCCGGAGCCTTTGCCGTGGAATCGGTGGGAGAGCTGCCGGAAAGCCTGGGAAAAAAGAGATGCGAGTAAGGCCTGGAGAACGGCAAAGCAGAATCCTAGAATCTGGAGTTGTCCCTCCTTCTCTGCCTGTCAGATCTCACGCTTGCGCACCTGCCCCGCCAAATAAACATTTTAAAAGCATCCGATTTGATTTCAATATGGTAATTTTCCTATTACGGTCCCTCCTTCTCTGCCTGTCAGATCTCGCACATGTGCACCTGCTCTGCCAAATAGAAATTTAAAAAGCATCCGATTTGATTTCAATATGGTAATTTTCCTATTACTGTCCCTCCTTCTCTGCCTGTCAGATCCCGCACATGCGCACCTACTCTGCCAAATAAAAATTTAAAAAGCATCCGAATTGATTTCAATATGGTAATTTTCCTATTACTGTCCCTCCTCCTCTGCCTGTCAGATCTCGCACATGTGCGGCCACTGACATTTTTTAGCTCCCCCCATCATATGCGGCAAACACAGATTCTCCAATCCGGATCGGAAGTTTCAGCACCCGCTCTATAAGACGACTCCCGGCGTATAAGACTACTCCCACATATAAGACGACCCCTGACGTTTGAGAAGATTTTCTTGGGTTAAAAAGTAGTCTTATACGCCAGAATATACGGTATTTGTGACATCCTGACCTCCTTGGGCGTGAGCTTGCGCCCAGTCTCGTCTACGTATTCGATCTTGACGTCCGGCTTGTAGCCGTCCTTCTCCTTGAAGTCCTGCGTGAAGCCCCGGTACTCCTCCCGACGGCTGTATTTGTCGTCGATGGCCCTGGCCGGAGAGAAGAAGGAACAGCCACAATGTTTGGCAATTCTTTCCCATTGAACCCCACATCCTGTCATATGTTCTGCAGTTGATGGTTGGTGGTGATGGAAGGGTTTGGTGGTCTGTAAGTGGGAGTTCATGGGTGAAAGCAATTGGTGGTGGATGCTGCTGGTTGTTCCCCCAGGCCTATTGGATTTTTTGGTATCCTGCCCTGTCTCCTGTAATCTTGGAATCCTTTCCCAACCTGGACATTATATCACAAGTATATATCTACACTCCTCTTGCGACCTCTATGCAGTTACCCTCACTGATTGACTTTGCAAACTTCATGACTACTCAACACTATTCAAGCTTGCTCATTGCAACATGCACACTTGCGTCAAACAGACAAAGATTCTTTCTTCCCACCCTGGACATCATTCCACAGAGGTATATACACTCCACTTGCTTCACTACCTCCATGCAGACACCCTCACTGATTGACTTTGCAAACATCATGGCTACTCAACGCTATTCAAGCTTGCTCACTGCAACACCCACACGTGCTTCAAACAGACGAGGGTCCTTTCTCACCCTGGACATTATTCCACAAGTATATATCTACACTCCTCTTGCGACCTCTATGCAGATACCCTCACTGATTGACTTTGCAGCTTCATGACTACTCAACACTATTCAAGCTTGCTCATTGCAACATCCACACTTGCTTCAAACAGACAAGGGTTCTTTCTCCCACCCTGGACATTATTCCATATATACACTCCACTTTCTAGCTCTACTCAGATACCTTCACTGATTGACTTTGCAGCTTCATGGCTACTCAACACTATTCATTGCAACATTCACACTTGCTTCGACAGACAAGGGTTGTTTCTCCCACCCTGGACATTATTCCACAAGTATATATCTACACTCCACTTGCGACCTCTATGCAGATACCCTCACTGATTGACTGCAAACTTCATGGCTACTCAATGCTATTCAAGCTTGCCTTAAACAGAATTCTTTCTCCCACGAATATAAATATACACTCTACTTGCCCCACTGCCAACAGAACCTCTGAAGACGCTATTAGCCACAGATGGAGGCGAAACGTCAGAAGACAGTGCTGCTGTTACATGACCATACGGCTTGGAAACCACGCAACCCCTCACAAATGACCTCAATCTAAGAGAACAGCTCCCGAAGACCATCAAGATCCCCCAGAGCCTCTTCACTTACATTTTGTCCTCGATGCAGTAGACGGCCGACGGGAGCGACTTATTGGGTGCCTTGACCCGGGCCACTTTCTGGACGGTGGTTTCGAGCAGACCTGGAGGAGAGGAAGAAGACGCCTCAGGATCCGGTCTTGGCGCGGTGCCGGTCCTTTCCCCCGGGAGGGAAGCGGCACCGAGCGCGGCGGTCTCAGCTCGTCTGTGACCAAGCCAACTGCTCCCGGTGCTTACCTTTGTTCTGGCAAAGCATCAGGGCTGCCGCCAGACCCCGGTTGACAATGGGCTCTTCGTCCAAGATGGTGGTGGAGGAAGCCGAAAACTGCAAGACAGAGAAAGGCAGGTGGGCCGGGAAGGGAAGAGCCAGGGAGAACGGTCGCCGGCGCAGAGAAAGCCCAACGCGACATGTCCCCCTACCACAGCATTGATTCCGTCCGACTGTGGAGTTGATTCATCCCACACAGAGGAAAGCTTTAGTGGCTGTGAGATTGGGCTGTGGCACAGTTTCTATTATTAGGAACACAACACTCTGCTGGCTGTTGTATTGGATCACAGATCGGACCCTTCCCAGGTATCCAGGACTGTGTGATGCATCAGTGAATAATAATAATAATAATAGTAATAATAATACTTTATTGATACCCCGCTAACATCTCCCGAAGGACTCGGTGCAGCTTACAAGAGGCCGAGGCCCAACACATCAATAAAGCAACAGCATAACAAATATAACTCATAAAAACAAAACTCATAAAAACAAAACAATAAACATTAAAAGACTAGCAGTAAACATTAAACAATAACACCACGATGCATTCAAAACTAGGGCCGGGCCAAATGTAATGATTAAAAATTTTAAAAAGTGCTGGACATGACAGGTGAAATGGATAGGTTTTTGGAGACAATCTTAAATCTCTAGTAAAGTGCATTTGGGACATGATGCCGGGAGTTTCCTATTCTGGGAAGGCACACTGGAACAGCCACGTCTTCAAGCTCTTCCTAAAGACTGCCAACGTTGGGGCTTGCCTGATGTCCTTGGGGAGTTCCAGAGTTGGGGGGCCACCACAGAGAAGGCCCTGTCCCTCGTCCCCACCAACCACGCTTGCGACGCAGGTGGGATCGTGAGCAGGGCCTCTCCAGATGATCGGAGAGATCATGCGGGTTCGTATACAGAGATGCGGTCACGCAGGTAGGCAAGTCCCAAACCGTTTAGGGCTTTGAAGGTAAGCACCTGCACCTTGAATTGGGACCGGAAAATGAACGGCAGCCAGTGGAGCTCCTTAAACAGGAGGGTTGACCTCTCTCTGTAAGGAGCACCAGTTAACAACCTGGCCGCCGCCCGTTGGACCAGTTGGAATTTCCGAGCCGTTTTCAAGGGCAGCCCCACGTAGAGCGCATTACAGTAGTCCAATCTAGAGGTGACCAAGGCATGGACCACCCCGGCCAGATCCGCCTTCACGAGGTAAGGTCACAGTTGGCGCACGAGTCTCAATTGTGCAAAAGCCCTCCCGGACACCGCCGACGCCTGAGCCTCAAGCGTAAGCGATGAATCCAAGAGGACTCCCAAACTGCGGACCTGTGACTTCAGGGGGAGTGTAACCCCGTCCAACACAGGTTGCCACCCTATACCCTGATCCAGTTTACGATCGACCAGGAGGACCTCTGTCTTGTCGGGATTGATATTCAGCTTGTTCCTCCTCATCCAGATCGACACAGCGGCCAGGCACTCGTCCAGCAACTGAGGGGCTTCCTTGGAATTGGGTGGAAAAGAGTAGTAGAGTTGAGCGTCATCTGCGTAGAGAAGGCACCCAACTCCAAAGCTCCGGAGGACCTCTCCCAGCGGTTTCATGTAGATGTTAAAAAGCATGGGAGACAGAATGGAGCCTTGCGGGACCCCACAGGTCAAGGGCCAGGGGTCCGAGCAGGCATCTCCCAGCTTCACCATCTGGGTTCGTCCCTCCAGGAAGGACCGAAGCCACGACAGAATCGAGCCCCCGAGACCCATCCCAGAGAGTCAACCCAGAAGGACACCATTATCGATGGTATCGAAAGCCACTGAGATGTCCAAGAGGACCAACAGGGTCAGACTCCCCCTGTCCAGTCCTCTACGGAGGTCATCCACCAGGGCGACCAAAGCCGTCTCGGTGCCGTGGCCAGGCCTGAAGCCAGACTGTGATTGATCCAGGTAACTGATGTCATCCAGAAAGCCCTGGAGCTGGGAGGCAACCACCCGCTCTAGCACCTTGCCCAAGAAAGGGAGGTTGTGTTCAGATCCCAGTAAGGTGGCCTTTTGCAGCTGGAGATGGTAATTTTGTCAGTGCCGATTGCGTTTAAGTGCAGGCCAAGGTCTTGAGGCACTGCACCCAGTGTGCCATCACTACTGAGACCACCTTGACTGGCTTGTTCTAATATTTTCACAAACCCCGATGACATCTAGACATTTGATGATCCAACAAAGTGAGACAAATGCCTTATTATTATTATTATTATTATTATTATTATTTGAAGCACAACAAGATGAGTCCACAGCAAACAAGGTCACTCTGCTGGCTGTTGTATTGGATCACACGTCGGACACTTCCCAAGTGTTTAGGACTGTGTGATGTATTGGTGAATAATGCGTGCAGATCACAGTAAGGTGGCCTTCTGCAGCAGATAGGTGGTAATCTTGTCAGCGTCGATTGTGTTTAAGTGCAGGCCAAGGTCTTGAGGCACTGCACGCAGTGCCTAAATAATAATAATAATAATAATAATAATAATAATTTAATATAACATTATTATATTCATTTATACTCTGCTTCAACATAAAAGCATTTTAATACAATTTCAAACGTACGTCCTGTTGCTGCTTCTCCTCGTCCAAGTTGACCGTGCTCCAGCCAATGTTCTCCTCGCCGTCCGAATCGGAGCCCCCGTTGGCTGACCGCTCGTCATCCCGCTCAAAATCCTGCGAGACACAAAGGAGATCGAGGTGTGTTGCTCTTTCAAACATCAGTGGGATCCCCTGCGGGATGGAAGGCTCCACAGGCATGCGGCAACTCAATATCTCCCAAACTGAGGGTGCCTCCAGGCAACATAGGCTAGGCTACCTCTATGTAAATACCCTCACTGATTTACTTTGCAAACTTCATGGCTACTCAAGCTTGCTCATGGCAACATCCACACTTGCTACAAACAGACAAGGGTTCGTCCTCCCCGCCCCGGACATTATTCCACAGGGATATACCTACACTCCACTTGCTACCACTATGCAGATACCCTCACTGATTGACTTTGCAAACGTCATGGGTATTCAGTGCTATTCAAGCTTGCTAATAGTAACATCCACACTTGCTTCAATAGACAAGGGTTCTTTCCGCCACAGATATATACACCACTTGCCTCACTGCCAACAAAACCTCTTAAGATGCCAGCCACAGATGCAGGCAAAACGTCAGGAGATAATGCTGCTGGAACAGGGCCATACAGCCCAAAAAACTCACAGCACCCAGTGATTCCAGCCTTGAAAGCCTTCGACAACACATTAACATGGAAGCTGTGCTTGATCTTCCTCCTTACCATGAGCTCCTCCTGGTCCTCGCGGTTCCCGGCCAAGCCGTAGGTGGGGATCTCGCCCAGCGTCCGGCAGAACTCGGAGGTGGCGTTGAAGACAATGGCGCCTTTCTTCTCCAGCTCCTCGTCGTCCTCCTGGCTCCGGCCGGTGTCCAGCTTCTTCACTATTTCTATGACCTGAAAAAATGGAGTCCTAGATTGAGAGAAGCCTTCGAATCTACTCACATTTGCATGTTTTCGAACTAGTGGGTTGGCAGGAGCTGGGGCTGACATCGGGAGCTCACCCTGTTCCCTGGATTCGAACCGCCAACCGCCAAAGGGTGTGGGGATGATGGTGTGCTCATTGAATTGCTACCAGAGAATTTCCATGATTTGGAGCTTGAAAACAGCTCGGCACCTGGAAATCATATAGGCACCTTCCACCCCCCCAAAAGGTAACTCCCCGCACCTTTTCCCCGCTGTCCTTCAGCTGCTGGATCTGCCTCAGCTTCCTCCCTTTCTCCAGCTGTTTCTGCAGCTCCTGCTCGGCTTCGTCTTCCTCCAAAACGGTCGGAGAATCGGCGCCCCGGAACGTGTCGTCTGCGGGGAGGAAGCAGAAAAGAGTTGCTCAGGAAAGAGAGTGTGAACAACAACACTCTTCTTCCCTCTGCCTCCTCCGCCTCCTCCTCACCTTCGTCGCTGCTGATCTCCATTCTCTCGACTCGGAGGTCGTCCGACGGGGGCACTTCCTCCGCAGCTCCGTTCCGAGCGTATCCGTACCTCTCTTCCCCGCCTTCGTCTTCCTCCTCCAGAGAAACCTTCCTCCTCCCCCGGCCTCGGATCCTGGGGACATTGGAGAGCAACGCACGCCAAGTTTGAGTCCGAGCAATACAAAGGGATGGAAGTCCATCACGTGTGTTGGAGCTCAGCCTGTGATCGTGTTTCAGGACCAGGGTGCTTGAGATGTGGGGAGTGATGTGTTGTGGCTCAGTTTGATTCCGAGTCTGAAACTGAACCCTGTGGGTCTTGTGAGCCAGACGAGGATGATGGGATTCAGATTTCAGGGCCGCAGGGGAGACAACAAGTCAGTTCTCAAGGGAAAAGAATGCCAGCGAGCTAGATAACGGCCAGGTGGAGTTGTCTTCGATGGTAGAACAGAAGCTCTCCGAAGCTCTAGGTGCTCTTACTGCTTATTACAGGGAAAACCAACTGATCCCTAATCCATCTAAAACACAGACATGTGCCTTTCATCTCAAGAACAGAGAAGCATCCCGAGCTCTGGGAAGAAATCCCACTGGAGCATTGCAGCGCACCGAAATACCTGGGAGTCACTCTGGACTGTGCTCTGACCTACAAGAAGCACTGCCTGAACATCAAGCAAAAAGTGGTGCTAGAAACAATATCATACGAAAGCTGACTGGCACAACCTGGGGATCACAACCAGACACAGTGAAGACATCTGCCCTTGCGCTATGCTACTCTGCTGCTGAGTATGCATGCCCAGTGTGGAACACATCTCACCACGCTCAAACAGTAGATGTGGCTCTGAATGAGACATGCCGCATTATCACGGGGTGTCTGCACCCCACACCACTGGAGACATTACAGTGCTTAGCCGGTATTGCACCACCTGACATCCGCCGGGAAGTAGCAGCCAATAGTGAAAGGACCAAGGCAGAGACATCTCCAGCTCATCCCCTGTTTGGGTATCAGCCAGCACGTCAATGACTTAAATCAAAAATAGTTTTCTAAGATCTACAGAGACACTCGCTGGAACACCCCAGCAAGTGAGAGTCCAAAAGTGGCAGGCCCAAACCCAGCAGCTCAATCCATGGCTGATACCAGATGAGAGACTCCCCCCTGGGCACACAGAAGACTGGGCGACTTGGAAGGTGCTGAACAGACTGCGCTCTGGCACCACGAGATGCAGAGCCAACCTTCAGAAATGGGGCTACAAAGTGGAATTCATTACATGCGAGTGTGGAGAAGAGCAAACCACTGACCACCTGCTGCAATGCAACCTGAGCCCTGCTACATGCACAATGGAGGACCTCTTGCGGCAACACCAGAGGCACTCCAAGGGGCCAGAGACTGGTCAAAGGACATTTAATCCACTACCAAATTTGCAAAATCTGTGTGTTTTTTTCTGTTTCTTTTTAATCTGTGTGTTTGTTTTGCTCTGTTAGAATTGTAATACAATGGTATGGTTGCTGATGACACGATAAATAAATAGCCTTCCCACGGTTATTTGGTCCAGCTGGACCAAACTGATAAAGAAGAGAGCATTGAAGATAGTGAATCAATGAGCAGGCAAGAATGCTTAGATTGGAGGGTCAGGAGGATTTCTCGCTTAGCTAGTAAGAAAGAAGCCAAGTCGGCAAAAGGTCATCGCAATGCCTTCATGATAGCAAAGGGTATTCAATGAGAAATTGTCAGTTCAACGTTGCTCTTTCCATGATAGCTGTCAGGATTATTGAAAGTATGCATATATGTTTTTTCAATGGGTTTCTATGATTAAGAATGGTGTTCATATGTATTCAAGATGGATTCTGGTATGTTCAATTATGTGTTGGAATTGTTGTTGTAAGAGACAGAGGTATAGAGAGAAGAGACCTTGACAGAAGTTAGATAACGAGTTTCTCTGGCTGGGAAGAAATAGGGAGTGTCCAGGTTAAAGCCAGAGAGCCTGATAACCAGTCTCTCCATCTCTGTATTACCTGGAGCCGAAATCCCGGTCGTTGCTGCCCTCGTCGTTCAAGGGAAGGAGGTCGGCGGCCTTCACCGGCTTCTCCTTCTTGCGGATCTTCTTCACCCGCCGCTTGGTCTTCTTGAAGGTGACGTCCTGCGCAAAAAAGAGTCACGACGCTTGAATAGCGAATCAGCGTGGGGATAAATACCACAATTAGGGCTAATTGGGAGGACTGAAGAATTGTATCAGGTAGAGAAGGCTCTGTCAGATAGAAATGCATTCTCTGTCAAAGCCATTGTGTATTGCTGTGGAGGGAAAAATACAGTTCTAATAGACATGTGATCACAGCACATTCCACTGAAGGGTTAAGCAAGCGGTGATGTGGATCTAGGGCAGGCCCGGGGCCCGGATGCAGCCCCTTGGGCTCTTTTCTCAGGCCCTCCTGTCTCTCACCATCTTGTCCTTCCCTCCTTCTTTCTTCCCCCTCCCTCCTTCTTCCTTTCTTTCCTTCCTCCTTCCCTCCCTTTTTCTCCTTTCCTTCCACCCTTTCATCCTTCCTCTCTTCCCTCCCTCCATCTTTCTCCATCCCTTCTTCCTTCCCTTCCAACCTTTCATTCCTTCCTTCTCTCCTTCCTTCCCTTTTGTCTTCTCTCCCTCTTTCCCTTTCTCCTTCCTTCCCTCTTTCCCTTTTCCTTCCCTTCCTTTTTCCCCTTTTCCTTTCCTTCCTTCCCCTCTTTCTCTCCTCCCTCCTTCTTTCTCTTTTCGTCTTTCCTTCCTTCCCTCTTTCCTTCCTCCTTCCCCTTTGTCTTTCCTTCCTTCCCTCCTTCTCCCTCGTTCTCCTTCCATCCTTCCCTTCCTCCCTTCCGTCCTTCCTTCCTCTGCAACGATTCCTTCCCAATCCCATGATGCCCTGGGACTCCTCAAAGAGGAAACCCTAAACCCTTCCCTCCTTCCGAAGGCCTCACCATCTCTTCCGGGGTGAAGTACTCCGCTGCCAGTCGGAGGCCGGGCACGTCGAGGGTCTGGGCCCGGTTCTGCAGGTTGTCCCGGATCTGCTGCAGCTCCCGCTCCCAGGAGCCGTCGGCCATCCCAACTGCGTCCAGCTTGAAGGACTTCTTCCGCTCCCCCTCAATCTCCTCGTCATACTTGGACAGGACGCCCTTGTGCTTCAACTGGAGGGAGCGAAGGAGAGACAAATCATGGAGGACAAGTAGGAAATTTAGGTACCGCTTTATGCGGGGAAGCTAATTTAACTAATTTACGATGCCATAAAAATCTCCAGCAGCGTGCAAAAGAATGAGGAAGTACTCCATCGGTGTCACAATGGACTGTGAAGCGACAGCTCCCCCGGTGGTCGGCACTACTTATACAGGGAGGCTAATTTAACTAATTTACGATGCCATAAAAATCTCCAGCAGCATGCAAAAGAATGAGGAAGTACTCCATCGGTGTCAGAATGGACTGTGAAGCGACAGCTCCCCCGGTGGCCGGCACTACTTATACAGGGAGGCTAATTTAACTAATTTACAATGCCATAAAAATTTCCAGCAGCATGGAAAAGAATGAGGAAGTACTCCATCGGTGTCACAACGGACTGTGAAGCGACAGCTCCCCTGGTGGTCAGAATTTGAGCATAGCCTCATGAAGCCAGAATAGCTGGAATGTTCAATGGCCTCTGTGTCTGTCAATATATGTTGTATGTCGATATATGTTGTAAGTCTAGCTGGCATTCAGTTTGCCATGTACATGTGCATTGTAATCCGTATTATATTATTACATATTGCACGTATCTTATTATTACCCAAATAATATATTACATTATTTTATGTAATATATTACATTATTACCCCAATAATATATTACATTATTTTATGTAACATATTAGTATTATATTACCGTATTATATTATTACATATTGCACATATCTTATTATTACCCAAATAATATATTACATTACCCAAATAATATATTACATTATTTTATGTAATATATTAGTATTATATTACCGTATTATATTATTACAAATTGTGCATATCTTATTATTACCCAAATAATATATTACATTATTACCCAAATAATAAATTACATTATTTTATGTAATATATCCGTATTATATTACCGTATTATATTATTACAAATTGTGCATATCTTATTATTACCCAAATAATATATTACATTATTTTATGTAACATATTAGTATTATATTACCGTATTATATTATTACATATTGCACGTATCTTATTATTACCCAAATAATATATTACATTATTTTATGTAATATATTACATTATTACCCAAATAATATATTACATTATTTTATGTAACATATTAGTATTATATTACCGTATTATATTATTACATATTGCACATATCTTATTATTACCCAAATAATATATTACATTATTACCCAAAAAATAAATTACATTATTTTATGTAATATATCAGTATTATATTACCATATTATATTATTACAAATTGTGCATATCTTATTATTACCCAAATAATATATTACATTATTTTATGTAACATATTAGTATTATATTACCGTATTATATTATTACATATTGCACATATCTTATTATATTGTATTAGTTTATAATATTATTATATTATTAACATAGCATAACATTAGTATTATATATTATTTTACTGTGCTATATAATATAATATAATATATGTGGTGTGTCTATGGCATTGAAGGTTTGCCATGTATATGTGAATTGTAATCCGCCCTGAGTCCTTTGTGGAGTGAGAAAGGGCGGAATATAAATACTGTAAATAATAATAATAATGCATAATTTCTTTGGATGGCAAAGGAGTCCTATATTATAATATATAATAATATATTACATTATTACCCAAATAATATATTACATTATTTTATGTAATATATTAGTATTATATTACTGTATTATATTATTACATATTGCACATATCTTATTATTACCCAAATAATATATTACATTATTACCCAAATAATATATTACATTATTTTATGTAATATATCCGTATTATATTACCGTATTATATTATTACATATTGCACATATCTTATTATTACCCAAATGATATAGTACATTATTACCCAAATAATATATTACATTATTTTATGTAATATATCCGTATTATATTACCGTATTATATTATTACATATTGTACATATCTCATTATTAGTATTATATTGTATTGCTTTATAATATTATTATATTATTAGCATAGCATAACATTAGTATTGTAAATACTGTAAATAATAATAATAATGCATAATTTCTTTGGATGGCAAAGAGGTCCTATATTATAATATATAATGATATATTACATTATTAACCAAATACTATATTACATTATTTTATGTAATATATCAGTATTATATTACCGTATTATATTATTACATATTATTCATATCTTATTATTACCCAAATAATATATTACATTATTTTATGTAACATATTAGTATATTACCGTATTATATTATTACATATTATTCATATCTTATTATTACCCAAATAATAAATTACATTATTTTATGTAATATATCCGTATTATATTACCGTATTATATTATTACAAATTGTGCATATCTTATTATTACCCAAATAATATATTACATTATTTTATGTAACATATTAGTATTATATTACCGTATTATATTATTACATATTGCACATATCTTATTATTACCCAAATAATATATTACATTATTACCCAAATAATATATTACATTATTTTATGTAATATATCCGTATTATATTACCGTATTATATTATTACATATTGTACATATCTTATTATTAGTATTATATTGTATTGCTTTATAATATTATTATATTATTAGCATAGCATAACATTAGTATTGTAAATAATTATACTGTGCTATGTGATATAATATATGTGGTGTGTCTATGGCATTGAATGTTTGCTATGTATATGTGAATTGTAATCCGCCCTGAATCCCCTGTGGAGTGAGAAAGGGTGGAATATAAATACTGTCAATAATAATAATAATAATAATAATAATAATAATAATAATAATAATTTCCTTGGATGGCCAAGGGGTTGGACGCCCTTGTGTGCCTGGGGAGGAGGCTCCCTTACCATCACCATGTCGTCCACGCTCTCCTCCTCCTCGTAAGGCTTGTACTCGGCCTTCTTCTTGCGCAGCTCCGCGTTCTTCTTGGCCTTCTCATGGTCCACCATGTTGACGTTCACCAAGACGTCGCCACCCTTCTCCTCCAAGACGCCTGAAAGGGGAACAACCGCCAAAATGGGTCACAATGCGCCTCCCCTCTCGGATCATGCCTTAATAACCCATCGTCCCTCAACCCAACTCAACCTAGTTATTGGGAGAGGACAATTAATCCGAGATTCTTCGTCCTTTCCCCAAAGTCTGCTCTGTGGGAAGACACGTGAGGATCAACCAGTTTACTCCATAGAGCTTTCACAGACAGAACAAGCAAGTACAAATAGAATCCCAATTATGAAATACCAAATAATACAACACCAGAAAACCAACATAAAATAGCTCTTTCGTATTTAGAAGCCAAATAGAATTCAATGTTCCTGAAGACTTAAACAGGAGAACTTTGAAGATAAGGAACTGACCGAGATAGATAAAAACATCCCCTGCACACACAAGTGCAATATTAGTAAATGATAATAATAACAATAATAGCACCCCCAGGACACTCAAGTGCAATATCAGGTAATAATAATAATAATAATAATAATAATAGTACCCCCAGGACACTCCAGCGTAATATCAGTAATTGATAATAATAACAATAATAGCATCCCCAGGACACTCAAGTGCAATATCAGCCAAGAATAATAAGAATAATAATAGCACCCCCAGCACACATAAGTGCAATATTGGCAAATAATAATAATAAAACAACAACAACAACAACAACAACAACAACAATAATAATAGCACCCTCAGGACACTCAAGTGCTATATCAGCAAATAATAATAATAATAATAGCATCCTCAGCACACTCAACTGCAATATCAACAAATAACAGTAACAATAATCATAGTACCCCAGGCACACTGAACTGCAATATCAACAACAACAATAATAATAATAGCATCCCCAGCACACTGAACTGCAATATCAGCAAATAATAATAATAGCACCCTCAGCATACTCAACTGCAATATGATCAGCAAATAATAATAATAATAATAGCACCCCAGCACACTCAAGTGCAATATCAGCAAATAATAATAATAATAATAATAGCACCCCAGCACACTCAAGTGCAATATCAGCAAATAATAATAATAATAATAATAGCACCCCAGCACACTCAAGTGCAATATCAGCAAATAATAATAATAATAATAATAATAATAATAGCACCCCAGCACACTCAAGTGCATATCAGAAAATAATAATAATAATAATAGCACCCCAGCACACTCAAGTGCAATATCAGCAAATAATAATAATAATAATAATAGCACCCCAGCACACTCAAGTGCAATATCAGCAAATAATAATAATAATAATAATAATAATAATAGCACCCCCAGCACACTCAACTGCAATATCAGAAAAATAATAATAATAATAATAATAATAGCACCCCAGCACACTCAAGTGCTATATCAGTAAATAATAATAATAATAATAGCACCCCAGGACACTCAAGTGCAATATCAGGTAATAATAATAATAATAATAATAATAATAGTACCCCCAGGACACTCCAGCGTAATATCAGTAATTGATAATAATAACAATAATAGCATCCCCAGGACACTCAAGTGCAATATCAGCCAAGAATAATAAGAATAATAATAGCACCCCCAGCACACATAAGTGCAATATTGGCAAATAATAATAATAATAATAATAATAATAGCACCCCAGCACACTCAACTGCAATATGAGCAAATAATAACAACAATAACAGTAATAATAATAATAATAATAGCACCCCAGCACACTCAACTGCAATATGAGCAAATAATAACAACAATAACAGTAATAATAATAGCACCCCAGCACACTCAACTGCAATATGAGCAAATAATAACAACAATAACAGTAATAATAATAATAATAATAGCACCCCCAGCACACTCAACTGCAATATCAGAAAAAAATAATAATAATAACAACAATAATAATAGCACCCCCCAGCACACTCAACTGCAATATGAGCAAATAATAACAACAATAACAGTAATAATAATAGCACCCCAGCACACTCAACTGCAATATGAGCAAATAATAACAATAACAGTAATAATAATAATAATAATAGCACCCCAGCACACTCAACTGCAATATGAGCAAATAATAACAACAATAACAGTAATAATAATAATAATAATAGCACCCCCAGCACACTCAACTGCAATATCAGAAAAAAATAATAATAATAACAACAATAATAATAGCACCCCCCAGCACACTCAACTGCAATATCAGCAATTATTATTATTAAGGCTGCCGGAGTGCCAGGAGGACCCCCGAGGAGGAGGAGGAGGGCGAGGGCGAGGGGGAGGGCCTCACCTTTGTCTTTGAGGGTCAGGATGACCGTCTCCCCTTCCTGGAAGGAGTCGATGGTGTGCTCCACCGTCAGGCCCTTCAGGTCCCGGGAGCTGTAGCCCACCTGCTAAGAAGAGGATGGAAAGAAGGTGTTTACCAAAGCCATCGTGCTTGTTTCCCAATTATAAATCCC